GAATCCCTTTCCACTGTGCATTTTTCAAACAAAGAAGACGTGTATAGGATCGAATTCGCTCTTCAAGAAACTGCTCATCTAATACCTTCTGCATATCTGATATGTGTGGAACCTCGTCATTTTCGGTTCCAGCCTCTCTCTCGAATACGTAGAGTAGGTAGGGCTGGGTGATAAATAGTTCCCTCTTGCCAATAAACTTTCCCCGGCCTGCGATTAACCTTACTCATAATGGGTCTTATAGTTGGGAGAACTACCTAACTAAAGAAAAATAGTGTTCTTTCTAAGAGTAGGTGTTGAGAGCTTTTTGTGGGGAAACTAGCAAGTACAATTTGGGGGGAGGCGGGCGTCAACCCTACCTTATGAGTATTCAGACTATAACAGTTTGGATGAACAGTCACTCAATTTTGACAATTATACGATTCGAGAAGATGATCTAGAATTGGGTCAATCAAGTTTATAAGAAGTCGACAATAGAGTGGTTCTACCAGCAAAGAGCCCTATATGTTTTATTGTAACATCTGCTGATGTACCTCATAGTTGGGTTTTACCTTCCTTAGGTGTCAAACGTGATGTTATACCGGGTCACTTAAATGAGACCTCTATTTCGGTACAACGAAAAGGAGTTTACTATTGTCAGTGAAGTGAGATTTGTGGAACTAATCATGCCTTTATGCCTATCATCGTAGAAGCTGTTCCTAGGAAAGATTATGGCTCTCGGGTATCCAATCAATTAATCCCACAAAGCCCCAACAAAAAGCCAGTATTGGTCCCCTGTCCCTCTGATGACCGAACACAATCGTCTTCGTGGGCTTCCACGCTTGAAAATTGCGGAACTTCTCGAACGCAATTGTCTTCGTGGGCTGCCGCGCTTGAAGATTTGGGAACTTCTCGCTCGCAATCATAATTGAGTATGAATGAAGCCCCACATAATTCCCCCGCAGCAAGAACAGTTGGTGTTTGTGTGGAGATCCAACCATTCACATTGTTACAGGATGCCCTGAGGTGTCAAGATCTAGATAGCCGGCTGGCGTTCCACTTGCACTTGATCGGAAAAAACTGGAAAGAATGGCAAATAAACGCTGCGTTGTAACAATAATTCTTTTCAGAAAAACAAATGGAGAGCACTTTACCGGCCAATGGCTTTATCCAAGAATCGATTCTCAACGAAATGGGAAAAATACGAGGGATCTCTTTCTATCCCTATGTGCGGCCCCTCGCTTCCACGACATACAAGAGCTATATTGATATAATTGAAAGTGTTGGGACAGACCACACCCCACCCTACAAACGCAATATTACTGCTTTTGTAGACTGCAAGTTTCGCCTTCGATTTCAGAATTATGGAAAAAGTTATATAAAGTAAAACTAAGGTAGTCGCCATAAGTCAGTTTTTTTTTGGTATGCCGCTTCGCGAGCAAGGAGTGCCACGCATAAGCGGGTAAAAAAAATTAAGGGAAATTCTTCTCTTTTTGGGAGAGAAATCCTTTTATTGCATATTGAATATAGATCTATGTGTTTCTTGTTCCACTAGCTAAGACCAAATTCTCAGAAGTCCCATTCGTCATTCCAACCTTCTTTTTTATGTCAAATACCGGAAGCTACGCACAAATTCTCATTGGATTGGGTTGTTCTTACAGCAATGGCTATAACTTGAGATGGGGAATCGATCTAAATGTGATCTAGATGCTGAGAACTTGAACCTACATCACAAGAAAATATAGCGCAGAGTATGCGTCAGTACTTGAAAGGTTATGAGCATGCAGGATAGATTAAAGTTGAAATAAACATATATAACTTAACAAGCAAACAAGAGGCGAGAGTAAAGGAAATTAATAGTTTGGTAAGAGTATAATCTAAACATGATATAAATACCGAATAATGAGAAAGCTGAATGCAATTAGCAAATCATAACATAATGAGACTAAATACTAACTATATTAAAATATGGTCAATATAATAGAGTCCGAGTGAACTATGGGAGCTACTAATAACTGATATTAAAATCACATGAGATAAATGTGGATTCCAATGTATATGCCGCATGCAGGGGACCTTATATACCCGAACAAAGATGTAGATGTATTCTGGTGTGATTACTCAAAATGATACCCTTATAGGGGACTTACAACCTACGTTGTTGGTACTTTGGGTACTATATAGATGACTGACCCTAGTCTAACTCAGTGTTAGGCCACTCCTAATTTATTAAATGACTAGCATATTATGACTAAATTTCTTTGATATACTAGATAGCTCAAAACTGACATGGAAACTGGGAATAAATATTAATATACTTGTAATGATACATTCAAGACTGAGTAATGTATATTTGAAATATCTGACCTAGCATGTGTAATTGAAGAACCAAATAAATGCATAGCTAGGGTTTTAAATTTCATGCAAGAAACGAAGTAATCACATAATAATCTGCTGAAGATATAGAAACCCTAGGTCTAGTTGATAGTAGGGACTCAATAATTTGACTGAAATATATGGACCTAATGGGCGAAAGGAACCCATTAAAAAATCCCACATACCTGGAGAGGAATTACTCGGAGAAAACATTCGAACTTTATACTTGAACATATGGAATTTTGTGGCGATGTTGAACTCGGTTTTGTTGCCTCTTTCTTATCTCTAGGTTCTAATTTATTAGGTTTTCCTGAAATATTTTTTCTTAGATAAGTTGTAGTTATGTTTCTATGCCAAAACTAAACAAAACCAAGCAGCTTAGGCTTTAAACGACATAATTTACGGGTCCAATAAAATAGGAAAAGACAAAAATGCCCCTGACGTAAATTATTAATGGGGCTTAATACGACCATTTTTACAGACCGTGAAAAGGACCATATATTGTGAAGTGGATCATTGTATTTGGTCCAGACTTCACTGGGTTCTACAGGTCCGGTCCATGGGCCCTAATTGTTAGTGTGCTTAGGAGCATGGGTTGTGCAGATTCCCGTAGTCCTCACTTGGGTTCTGGGGTCTGGTAGCCCTTGTTCATGTACCTTCAAACAGGCCAAATGAAGTCCCTCGTGGTCCTCACTTAGAAGTTGGGGATTCTTTGGATTTTCAAGAAGGTGTGAGGGGAGTGGGGCTCTTGTCTAACTTATCAAGGAACATCCCACGGTCGTGTGAAGGACCACGGACCATGAAGCTCCTCATGATCTTTACTTGGGCGCGGGGGTTTAAAGGTCATGTTAGGGAGGCTACTATATCGACTCTAGGGATGACCACATGATCCATTGTCAAGATAAGGGTCCGTGGTCTTAGGTCTTGTCATGGGGGATGATAACTCCCTACCAAGGGCAGGTCAACGTACCCGAGGTTTTTTCGGAAACAATGGAGACCATCATCGTCATCATCATTGCTGAAAAAATGGAAATTATAATTTTAATATTTTCTTTTTCCATGCTCACCTTCAACCACACATATCGCCTCGATGTACACCCTTTCTTCGAAAAGAATCTATGTAGAATCAAAAAGAAAAGAAAAGAAAATACAAAATCAAAATAAATAATCAAGAACCGATCTTTTAAGAAAACACTAACAATTTTGATATGAATAAGAAAGAAGTCATAAAGAGAAATAACAATAATAAATTCATATATAATATATCTTAAAACTTACAAGACTCATTCGTAGGGAATGTGAAGAAGAGGGAGGTTTGGGGTGGGCTGCATATTTTCGTTATCTTTTTTTAAAAAAAATAAAAATTTGAAAGTCTGTTCTTCTTAAATTTAACTTGTTTATATTCAAGATTATTTTTAAAAATGCCACGTGACTTCATTTGATTTTTTATTTTTAACATATGCAAGCGTATTACACACATTTAGTACTTTTATTAAGTATCACTAAAATATTCAATGGACATTTAGTTTTTACGATTATAGTGTCTAATAGAAAACATGGTCTACTAAAGTTTCTAAGTGAAATATACAACAACTTAAAGGGGTCATCAATGACTTAAGACAAAATTATATTAGCAAATATAATTTAATAGATTATAACATATTGCATACATCATTCTTCAAATAATTAATATTATCCGCAAGATCGTTGTAGTTTTAGATGTGAGAATATTTAAACACGGTTAATACATGCATAAAATTTAAATTCATGAATAATTCTTGGCTAGATTAAAATGATCTCAATAATGATATTGATATAAACACTCTGTAATTTAAAATAATTATTAGTCAAATATTTGATAATATTATACATAATATTATTCCTGTGCAGGCTTAATCAAGAAATCTCTTAACAGCACATAACAATATTTAAAGGTATCACAATTTTCAAATCGATAAGAGGAGAAAAAAATCTTAAATATTTCGCATGAATTACGTCTGAAAGGCGAGGCTATATACATATAGGTGTTATTTTATGTTCGTTATACAAGAGATCTTCATTTGTGAAAAAATGAAGATCTCTTAATGAACAGTGATAATATACTACTCGATATAATTTCATGTAAAAATTAAGTGAAATGAGGTTTCTTAAAGAGAGAACTGTTTGAGAAAACGGAACAACAACTTACTACAAATACTAGATTCAAGAATTGAAAAACAATAGAAAATAACGAAACTAAAAGAGATCCATTTTTTCTATGATTTAAATAGTTAATCATAGGAAACTATAAAACTATAATTCTTGACTTCCCATACTAAAAACCTTAAACACAAGAATGACTATATGACCACATATGTCGACATAGAAACTTGGTGGAGAGGGGTGAAAGATTAATTTCTCTTGTCATTTTCCTCCTATTAGGTGGAAGTAGTGACAATTTAGAGTTGATCAATGCCCATGAAAATATCTTCGTTCATGTCTACCTTTTCTTCACCATCACCTATGTTATGCACGACCGCAACAACCATTTTGTTTTTTCTCCCGATTTCAAGTGGAAGCTTAGTTCCGATAATTTGAGAAGCAACATCTGTTGAATGCTTAACGCGTTTGGACGAGGATGATGATTTACTAAAGATTGATTCTTTGGGTTAAATATTTATGCCTTTTGGAAGCTTCAATTTGGAATTATTGTTGCAGCTAGCAAGATATGTACGGCTCATGGGTGGATAATGATTGTGTTCACCGGAACAAGATACAAAGAAAATGTTCTCATCCTTTGAGCTTTTCTCAATTTGTTTCTTTGCTTCACAGTGTTTTGATGTGCTACACTTGTAGTAATTCCTGTTATGCCATATACACAAAATAATAATCAACTTTATTCTAATATTATAAGTGTATACACCATTAATAATTTTTACTACTTTTTGTTATGAAATTTGAGAATGAAAGAGAACATAAATTTCTGTGACATGAAAAAAATGATGAGAGAGCAAACCTTGGAAATGGGGAACCTTTGATATACTTCTGACCATACTTGCGCCATGCCCATTTGTCATTTCTGAGTTCCTCTTGTAATGATTCATAGGTAAGCATTATGGAGTGGTTTTTACTGAATCAGAAGCACTAAAATCAAAATTTTGAACATACACGCATAAAACATAATGAAGTGAGTTGTTACCTTGTTCGAGATTGGGTCAAAGGAGTCTTCATAGAAAAAGAAAAATTAGGAAGAATTTTAGCCCCTATATCTAGTTGTTTTTGTAGATCTATCCATTCTGCTTGTGTTGTAGTTGGTGGCACAAATTCCACCGTTGTTCGTGATTGAGGAACAGTTATTTGTTCGATAAATTGAACTGGAGTGATTGAATGTAAGTACAATTGTTGGTTGTTGTTTTGGTTTGTTATGATAACCTGATCATATAATCTTTCCTGACGAGCTATTGGAAAGTCTAAAGAAACAATTTTAGATAAACCAGTAAAACTATTCATGCGAGGAGATAAAGGTCTGTCAAAATAATTCCAAACAAGAGACGTATTCAAACCTAATTTAGGAGCTACAACATTGTTTACACCTATATCCCAATTATCATCCCCCATTTTAGATCTATATATAATAATATCTAGTTAAATGCAAAAAATGAAAATGAGTTTATAGAATAAACTAATGATGTTTTCTATAAAATCATAGCTGAAAAGAGGATTCAAAGAGGGGGATGACTTATGGAGGAAGTAGATTAGCAAGAAGAACGTCTTAGTGAGTAAGAAATTATAAAACAAAGTATGGGACGAAGAAAGTGAAGCTACTTCACAACTTAAATAGAGAAAAATAAAAGTGTATTTACCTACCACGTATGCCCACATTTACTTTTTAGTTAATGAAAAGTAAATAATTTTTTCTATTTTAGAGTGAATGAGGTAGGCGACAAAGTAGTATTCAAAGATAATTTATGCGATACAAGAAAAGTCAAATAAAATTTATGTACCCTTTTTTTTGAGATTATACATATCATATGATATACACGAAACTGATCAAAGTCTATGATATGACTCGAAATTTATCGTGATGACGCTTACCATAACCCCTTTTTTAGGCAAGCCAAAAAACCAAAATTTACAAAACATAAGAATATAACGATAAATATAAAGAGGAAACAAGAATAAAGATACAAAATAGGGCCATAAAATAGAAAAATAAACATGATATACAATGTATAAAAGATGCCTGAAAATGTCAAAGAACGACAAAGTAACATAAGAACTAAATCTCCAAACCTGGTGTCACTAGAACATGAAGAACTTAAGATATATACTCTATATAAAAATGGACTAACTTATCAAAATACAAAACAAAAGTCAGAAAAAAATAGAAAAAGCGGCAAGTCTTCGGACACTAGGAAATCACCATGATCCGAGTCAGTGACGATCACAAGGAATTCAACGCTACATGAGAGTGTCTCCTACTTGTAATTCTGTCAGAAAAAGATACATAAATGTAGTATAAGTACTACATCATAGTTTGATCAATAAGTATCATGAGTCGACATAATTCAAAAAGATGAAATATATTAACAAAAGTGATATACCTTTAGTTTAAAGTATTTTTGGTGTGTTTTGCTTAGAGTTGGTATGTGTCTTGGGATAATTTGTTTTTGGAAATATTGGTTCTATAAAATTCTTGTAGGAAATTTGTTCGGATGCGGTGGGCTGAGATAAGAGTTGAAAATTGTATAAGTGGCAAGTGATGGAGCCAACCATAGACAGTTGATTCTTTTATGGGCCATAGGTGATGCAGCATAGATGATGGTTCAAAGAATTTTAACAATGTGTGGGAAAAGGGAGGCTATCAATGACCCATAGATCGAATGATAGACCTTCCTATACATCCGTCATTTACAATAAGAAATTTGAAGTTCTATTAATTAAAACGTAGAGGCAAGTGATGAAACATAGTCAAGTCCACAGATAAAAGGTCCAACCATCTTCTGAAGTCCCTAAAATAATTTCCAAGTGTTTATCCACGAAGGAGACCATGGACCATAAGTGGATTCACAGTTCGTAACTTCAGTCGTCGATTAAAACCGCGTTTTAGACGTTATTTATCTATTTTGTTTCCTACTTGGTTTAGGATTTGTGTACTATAAATATTAGTTGTTATTCTTTTAAGATTTCATTTTTCATGAATTCTCATTGTAAGATCATGAATTCTTTTAACCTAATTATGAATTATGAACTCTCAATGACGAGTGACTAAGTCCATAATTAGGGTTGTTGGAACTATGAACATATATATATCTTTCAATACATATATTCATAGGTGTAGATGCATGATGGCATGAAAACTAAAATAATTCCCACAAATGGGATTTACAACGTACGTGTAACGTACCACAATTACACCCTAGAAGTTAGAGCATCCTTGAGTTGCCACACGGAAAATGAGACTTAGCAAAGTCTCACCAAAGCCGCTCATATCATTCATTTCATAATAAAACATGGTAAAATGAGTAAGAATTTAAAACTTTCTTAACACACAAAGAAATCTTTCCATTATAATACGCAAGTGGAAGACTTTCATTTAAAACATTAAACATTTACAACATCTCATTGAACCATCTAACCTTTGGAGTATACAACACTTATGATTTAGCCCATACATGACATAAAATAAATACTAAGACATAAAGGAACATGTGGATATTATCCTCTAAACAATGAGGACTCAGCAATAATTTATCTTCAACCCTTAGAAATTTGTCCATCCTCTATTGCATATCAAAACTTCCAATTTCCTACACTTAAGTCAAAAAGGGAAAATAAGGGTTTAGCACATTAGATTGCACTAAGTATGGAAGTCATGCCAAAACCATTAAATAGGTATATTTAGTAAATAACATGCTTTTCATGAATTTTGATTAAAACATCAAACTATAATCATAAGAACAACATTTAACACCTTATAAACACATAAGAAATCACATAAGAAATTTATCACATTTTTAGGAAAACATTACAGTTAGCTAGTTCACTGTTACAGTGAAGACTATCAACTTTACATAGAAAACTCTCTAGCATGTAATATTCTCACTAAAAGTTATCCTAAGACTCACTTAAGTAAGACAAAGAGAGTCCTCCTATACACCCTATCTAGGCAAACCTAAATGATCCTTAAGACCACCTATAGTGAGACATATACACTTACAATGCACCAAACCCATAAGATGAGTCTTCCTACTAGAGGTGATTCTAAGGTTCACTTGAGTGAGTTGTGACGGGACCTCGCATACAATCCGTTTCACACACACTTAAGAGATCATATAAATTACCTAGTATAAGATCATTCTCACTAATACAATTGCAGACATATAATATGACATTCTCCCTTTCAAAGGTTATCAAAAGACTTATTTAAGTAAATCAAAAAGATAACGTCCATGATTGACCTCTTATAAGATTACCTAAGTAATACTTAAGGCTACTTAATTTTGGATCATGTCTAAATAATCAACCAACTTTCCTAACTAGTGTCATTCTTTACACTTATCTAGGTAAGATACAAAGTGACCATTCATATGCCCCCTTCACACCTTAACTAGACAACCCTTAATTATTCAAGATAAGAACTTATTCATTTAATATACTTTGTTAACTTACGTCATTACATTCATTGATTTATTCAAGAGACATTTCATTACATAAAGAACATTCAAGTAATAGTTTTAGAAAAGACCTAGGAACTCTCACTAACATTTTCAAAGCCTATTGTGCAATGTCTAGATAGTGTCCCATACCACCACCGTCGATGGTGGTTGTCCCAAAAGTTGCACACTGCCTGTTAAGTCTTTTGAGTGTTTTGTAAATTCACACCAAGTATTTATGACCTTAGGTCTTTATTTTTAGGGTTTATTCGTTATATTAAATTTTTATAAACCTCAATACCTCATTTTAGACCCCTCTTCCTAAAATTTAAAACCCCTCTCTCTTAGAAGACTCTCTCAAGTCATCATGGAATCTAGAAGTCAAGAAGTTCAAGGATGGGTGTTGGTGGTTTTTTCTTCATCAAAAATGATATTTCTTCAATGTGAGTTATGGTATTCATCCTTGAACTCTCTTCCACTCAAGGAGTTCCTTTTAATGAGTTTTCAACCCTACTTTCTTCTATCTTCAAATCTAAATATGAGTCTTGCATGTAAACGTTTCTAATGACTTAATAATGATGTTTCTAATGTTATTTGATGATTTTAAAGTTAAAACTTCAGTAAAATCATGTTAAATCATTTCATCAAATTTTGACTTAAGAAATGGGTTATATGAGCATGAATTGGTAGTCTTTGAGCTTTTGTTTCTTATGGTTATTATTGTAGTTTAGCGAATGACCAAAGGGATAATCTATGATGAATTATTGAATAAAATGTTATATGTGATGAATGATTGGATTAAAGGGTAAGTTGGTTATGTTGTTTATTTTCAATTTTGAGAATGCTCTTGAGTGGTATGGTCAACCTTCTTGGTTGTGATGTTTACTTGAATTGTATGAATGAATGCTCTTGAGTGGTACGGTCCACCTTCTTGGTTGCGATGTTTACTTGAATTGTATGAATTTGAAGTTACTTGTTTATTTTGAATGAGGCCATGAAGGATTTTTATGTTAAATAATATTATGATAAGGTTATTCTTGTTAAATGTGTCTTATGAAGCGATTACGTGAAGTAGACTTGATTGTATGCTTGAATGAAGTTATTCTTGTTATTTGTTTTAAGAATCTTGTTATGAGAATTATGATGAGAAGTATGTCTAAATAACTTATATGATTATATGAAGCATGCAAAGTATGTGATGAATGAAGTTCTAAGAATGTATAGAAGTTAAGTGTAAATGAAGTGAAGCTTATGTGCAAGGTGTGATCACATGTACACACACAGACACACACTTGAATGAATGATTGAAGTTAAGTTAAGTCATAAAGGGGAGTTTTGGGGTGAACACTCTTCGTGTGTTGAGATGAAGTGTTTAGTAGCAACACCACTACATCCCATGAGCTTTCTAAGATAGTTTGGAGGATGAATGCCCTTTGTGATTTGAGATGTGGTTTTCACTAGTTATCCTTAACCTATAGTCCATAATGTTGAGAATCCGTGGGAAGTTATGCCCAGCACCTAGAGAATATGAAGTAGAGTTGGATTACACTTAGTGAGTTGAGATCTTGTATTCCGATGCACCTCTTCAGATGAGTACTCCTCGTTATTAGAGAATGTGTTACTTAGTAGCAATCTCCTTATCCCATAAATATGCACCCGCATAGGTGTAGCTATTGGGAAAGTCACGTAAATGCTAAGAAAATGACCTCATTCTAGGCGAGTGAGTATCCCTCATCCGATAGGGGTTAATATCAGGATTTCATGTCTAGATCTCATGGTCTATGTCAGTTAAGCTAATTCCCACAAAAAATTGATTGAACTAAGTCTTCTAAAAGAATGTACTACTTAGGGTAGGTGGTGGTATGGGACGCTATCTACTTGTTGCAATACGTAGTACCTTCCGCAGGGGAATAGTTGGTGGCAAAACTTCTAAAAGAATGTACTACTTAGGGTAGGTGGTGG